CTGTATGTATTTTTTGTCTACATACCACATCTGAGTGAAATCATACACTGTCTTCTCTTTCTCTGAATTATTTCACTAAATATAATAAATACACTTTAGATCTACGCATGATGTCTGTCAATGACAGGATTTCATCTCTTTCACCTCTGTATAGTACTCCACTGCATATATTACCACATATTCTCTACTCACTTGTCTCTGGAGGGGCACTGAGGTTTTCTCCCATCTTCACTGTTGTAAATGGTGCTGCAAAAACATGGGAGTGAATATGTCCTTTGAAACATCCAATGCAATAGAGAAAAGATTAATCAGGAAGGATAGTGGGTAACCTTTGAGAATTTACTAAATACTCCAAATTGTCCCTAGAACCTTCTACCCATATCACATTTAGGACTAACAGGAATGCTACATGTATATTTTTTGTTTTATTAGATTTTTCAGAATCACTCCAGGTTTGGAATCCAACTAACAAGACCATATCCACCTGGCCATTCCAGTCAAGAATCAAAACTAGTATTTCAAAATCCATGGAAATTATTGAAATTCAAACATCACTGCCCCAGACCTCAGCCTATTGGTCCACTTTAAACACACTGAATGATAACCATGGAAAATGATAAAGAACTGAAAGACAACTTTTCTTGCAGTTCTGACACATGCAGCCTGGCAGCCTCCCCTCCCCACTGCCTGCCATCCTTTCAATGTCCCCTTTACCCTAAACCTGGAGAGGGAGGACACGCACACCACGGGACATGGCCAATGTGATGAGCAGATTCTAAAGGCATCCTCCTGTCACTGCTCCTCTGAGCCTCAGCTCCTGAGGTCTCCCCAGCTCTGGTCCAGGCAGCCCTGCCAGAAAAATTCGTACAGAAGACTATGCACTACACAGAACTGATTTTTTTTTTTTTTAAACCCTCAGGCTGTGTTCCCATGAGAAAAGACTGTGTAGCCACACAGGCTGCTGCTCCCAAACCACAGCTAATGGTGCTGCCTGCTGGCAGCATCGTGCCACTGCAACATGAAAGGCGTGCTTAAATCTTGATACTGGGGTTTTTTCTTTTCTTTTCTTTTTTTTACAGATTTATTTATTTATTTATACAAGCACTGGGTACAGTCAGAAGCACAGGAGGGTGAGAGAGAATTCACCAGTGCGAGAGCGGGGAACAGAACAGGCAGACTGATGAAATACACTGCTGAGGGGAGCAACGGGCAGCAGGAGAGGTCTGCTGCACCATGTGGGATCCTCGCTGGTGGCCGGGGATCGAACAGGCACTGCAGAGGCTGCGGGCAGTTTTGCAGCCCAGCGATCAACAGCTGCGCCACCAGGGGAGGCCCATTTTTTCTTTTCTTTTTAAAGAATATTGCTTCCTGACATCATATGTATCAGGCATGCATCACTGAGAATATACTACACCAAGTATATACTTAATGTACATGTATTCAGTATACATACGTATGTACAAGATTATGTTCACCGCTGAAAGTCCAAGCCTATCCTCCAAGTCTATCCTCCACTCCATTCCCCCTTTGTCTTGCTTGTCCACTTCCTTTTCCTGCCCTTTTGGTGACAACTACATGGCCTACATCCAAAGGTTTAGTTTGGGTTATTTAGTTCAACTGTAAGTTTTCTCTATAAACTACCTATGAGTAAAAATCGCACGCTGTTTCTTTTTCTCTGAATTATTTTACTAAGATCCATCCATATCCTTGCAGGGACAGGATTTCATCTTTTATAGCTGTAGAGTATTCCATTGTTTACATATTCCACATCTTCTCTAGCCATTGGATTGTTGAGGGACTTAGATTCCAGCTCCTGGCTATTGTAAATAGTGCTGCAATAAACATGGGTGTATCTCTTCAAACTGACAAATGCATTAGACAGAAGATTAGTATGAAAGGATAGTAGCTAACATTTGATAACTAACAAAATATCAAAACTGGGCTAAGAGCTCTCTACTCATACTCTCATTTAGGTAAGAACAATCCTATTTTTTTCCTTGTGGTACTATTAGATTTGTGACATTGCTCCTAGATTAGAATCCAATCGCCTGTATCCACACCTACCAGCCCAGTCCAGTCAACAGCCTGTTTGTGTATGATCCACAAGAAATCATTCACCTATTTAAACAGATGGAAAAAATCGATAATATTTTATATTTTACAACATGTAAAAGTTATTTAAATTCAAATTTCACATCCATAAAGTTGTACTGGCACATAGCCATGCTCATCTGTTCACACTTCAGCTATGGCTGTTTTGTGCTACATAGTTGATCTGTTGTGACACAGAACTTGGTCACCAATGGCAGAAAAAGCTTTTGGACTCCTGGCTTAGTTCTTGTTTTTGTATTTTTCATGATCAGACCTGGGGTTTAATGAATTTATTGTCTAAGATGAAGCCAAAGTAGGAGACATGGTACCATAAAATCCTTTCTACACAGGCTGCATTTGTTACAGGTATAACCTGGCTGTCTGACATGGAAAAAGTCAGGAGGGCATCTGAAGTCCATTGTCCTTTGGGGACCGCTCTCTGGGGTGATGATGATCCAGGGCACTGTCCCACAAGCCACCTGCTGCACCTCCTTTGTGCCATGGCAAGGTGAGATGGCAGAGGGCACTGTGACAAAGGGTTTTTTTAAACAGGAGAAACAGCTGTCGTTGTTCTTTTGTCCATGGTCAATCTCCTTTTAAGCATTCAAAGCTCTTTGTATAAAAGAGGAATTTGTGTTGGCGACACTTTTTTTTAATGTGCCCCTTGCTTTTTTTTTTTTAATTACTGTTTATTTTCTTACATCATTCTTCACTTTTGTACAGTAATTGGTTTCTCCCCTTAGGTATAGCCCTCATAGTTCTCCCCCCACATCACCCATAAACCATCATGAAATTCCCTTGTGCTCTTCCTTCCCCTGGTTTGACCCTTCTACCTCCCCCTTCCCTGCTCTTTACCTGAGATCTATAGTCAGCTTACATGTTGGTCTTTCTCTTGACCTTTGTTTGGTTTCTCTATATTACACATGTAAGTGAAACCATCCAATATTGATCTTTTTCCTTTTGACTTATTTCACTTACCATAATCCCTTCCAGTGCAATCCATGTTGATGGAATGGCTTGAATTTGTCTTTTTTTCACCACTGAGTAATATTCCACTGTGTATATATGTCACAACTTTTTGATCTATTCATATGTTCTGGGGTATTAGGGTTGTCTCCATATCATGGCTTTTGTAAATAGTGCTGCAGTAAATATAGGGGTGCAGGTTTCCTTTAGAATTGGTGTTTTTGTGTCCTTTGGGTAGGTTTCTAAGAGTGGAATCACTGGATTATATCATAGGCCCACTTTTAATATTTTGAGGAAACTCCACACAACTTTCCTTAGTGGCTGGACCAGTTTGTATTCCCACCAGCAGTGTAAGAGAGTTCCTTTTTGTCCATACTGTTTCCAGTATTTTTTTATGGGTCATTCTCACTGGTGTGAGGTGGTATCTCATTGTGATTTTGATTGCATTTCCCTGATAATTAGTGATGTTAAATATTTTTTCACATGCCTATTGTCCTGGTCTAGATTCTAATCCAGATATACCACGAGGGCGAAGTTGAACCTCAGTTTATTAAAGTGGGTTCATTGTGTACAGAGAGTACTTTAGGAAGATCACAGCTACAGCACAGCACCACCCTGAGATGCTGTGTGTCAGCAGAACTAAGCTAAGACATAAATATTGTGCCATGTGCAGAGGGAGTTCAGCATGTCCACCTATGGACCTGGCCCTCCTCATCCAAAGTCATGGAGTGTCTCAAAGTGTGGACTTTAGAGTCAAGATCCTGGAATATTGGCATCAGTATTGGTGCCAATACTGATGACCAGTGACTTCTGACACTACGTAGAGTGAGAGGTGTCAAAGGATGGAGGCTGATGCTTAGAGTGGAAGCTGGAGAAGTTTCCATCCTGACTTTGGAACCGCTAGCTGGTCACCTAGGGAAAACTACTTAACCTCCAAGAGTTTGTGCTTCCTCGTCTGCAATAAGGTGGAAAAATAATCCTGATTTCACTGGATTTGGTGAGGATGAAATGACGATGTATGTAAGGTGACTAAAATAGTGCCAGAGAAGCCCTTTGTTTGCTCTTGATTTCCCTCAGGGTCAGGACAAAACCAAAGCCCTTTCCTTGGCTTCTAAATCCTGTACCAGCCTTGTCTCTGCATCTCCAGCTCCAGATTCTTTTTACTATTGGTGGTCATAGTAGCCTCTCTCATGCCAACATGCCATCTTCCTTAGGCTAAATTATGCCAACTTTTCATTTTCCCATGAGACGCTCACACTTGCTGTTTTCAGGACATAGCAGGGACTTGACTCAGGTACAGCACAGTTGAGGCTCCCTTCCAAAGCCCTTGACAGATGTAAGCATGAAAGAGAAGACAATCTGAATGAGGCATTTTGAGCAGGTGACAGGAATTCACAGGAAGCAAGGTCCTTCTGAGATTGCTGAAATGTATGAATGGTTAAGGCTGGAACTCACCACCTTCTAAACTAACTGACTTTTTGTTTTACCTTCTTCCATTTTCCTCCCACTACCCATGCACAGCACAATTGAGAGGGCTCAATACCCATTAAATGAACACAATGAATGAATGAATGAATACATGTGAGTGGGGACCACTGTCAGAAGTGAGACTATGAAGAGGTCCCACCTATTTATTTTGCTATTTTTACAACAGTGGACAGGTGCTTAGTTTGAGTGGCTCTATTTGTCAGCTCAGCGCCTCTTTTTCCTCTGAGAGACGCTTCCCCTCTTCCCACACTGCTATCTTACAGAATCCAGACCCCTGGATGATTGGCCCAGTTGGAACAGTCCAAATGAATGACAGTGGAAAACAGTAAAGACCCAAGAGGCATCTTTTCCTGCAGTTCTGACACAGTGCATCCTGGCAGCCACCCCTCCCCATCAGACTCCCATCCTTTCAGTGTTGCCCTTTTCCCTACACCTAAAGGTATTGGGGGGATGGTCACATCACTGAAATTGGTCTATCTGATAAGCAAATGTGACAAGCATCTTCCTGTCACCTTCTCCTCTTAACTACAGTACCTGAGGTCTCCCCAGCGCTGGTACAGGCAGCCCTGCAAGAAAGGCTCTGATTAAACACTCCTATTCACTACATAACACTGGTTATCTCGAAAAAACCCACAGCCTGTCCTCCCCACGTCTGCTCACAGACAGGCGCAGGCTGCAAGCCTCACTTGTTGAATCACTAGCAGCCCCTCCTCTGCTTCAGGCTGCTGCTCCCAAATCAGAGATGGCGCCATCTGCTGGCAGCATCATGACACTACAAGAAAGTTCTTAATATTTGGATTTGTTTTTGTTTCTGTTCTTTCTAAATTAAATATTGCTATATAGCACCCTACACATCAGAGATGCACCACTGAAAGTCAACATGAGTATATACATCAATTTCAACACTGAAAGTCCAGTTCTACCTTTCCCCATACCACTGTCCCTTTGTCTTGCTTTATTTACCTCTTTCCAACTTATCTTCTGGTAACAATTAAATGGCTTTACAGCCCCAAATTTTTAATTTATACTTCATCTATTTGTTGTCTCAATATAAAACACATCTTTTCTTCCATTTCTGACACCATGCATCCTTGCAGCCACCTTTCCCCACCCGAGCCCCATCATTTCAACATCTCATGCCAAATCTGGGGGTTGCTGCACTTCAGAAAACTTAGTCTATGTGACAAGCAGATGTGACAGGCATCCCCTATCACTGTCCCGTCTTAACCATAGCACCAGAGGACTCCCCAGCACTGGTCCAGGTAGCCCTGCAATAGATTCTAATCAAAGGCGCCTATTCACTGATTATGTAACACTGATTATTTTTTAAAAACCCACAGCCTGTCCTCCCCATGACAAAGATGGCGCTGGCCACAGACAGGTACAGGCTGCAAGGCTCACTTGTTGAATCACTAGCAGCATCTCTGGGAGCCTCCATCTGAGTCCCTCTTCTGCAAGCTGCAGCTCCCAGCTGGAATGATGGCGCCATCTGCTGGCAGCAACATGACACTGCAAATGTTAATTCTTGCATTCTAGGTTTTTTTTCCTTTTTAAATTGAATAATATCGCTTCATAACTTTCAGGTGTGCATCATAGGGAATCTGTGTGAGTATATAATACATAGATCACTAAAAGTCAAATCTATCCTTCTCTATGCCAATGTCTGGATAAACCACCCCCTCAATCAGACCCTTCTGGTAACAATTGGCTGTATAGTCCAAAATTTTAATTTTGTATTTCATCTGTGTCCTCTATATACTATATATGAGTATAATCATGGCCTTTCTCTTTCTCTGACTTATTTTACTGAGCATAATGCACTTCAGATTCATCCATCTACTTGTAAGACAAGATCATGTTTTATAGCTGTATAGTATTCCATTGTTTACATAAACCACCTCTCATCATTGGACTGTAGGGGCACTTAGGTAGTATCCACCTCTTGGCTATTGTAAATGTTGCAATAAACTTGGGGTGCCTACATCTCTTCAAACTGCCAAATGCAATAACCAAAACATTGAGGATACAGCTAACTTCTGACAGCTTACTGAACACCAGAAGTTGTGCTAAGAGTTCTCTACCCAGGCTCTCATAGACTAGGAACAGTCCTATCATTTTTCTTATTTCATCACTTTTCCAAAAACATTCCAGGTTTAGAACTGTCAACTACATTTTTTGATTGACATGTGTAAATAGTTGAGAAAAAATTAGTATTTCATTAACATGTGATTATATTCAAATTTCAAGTCCATAGATAAAGTTGTATTGGCATATAGCCACGCTCATTTGCTTACGTGTCTCCTATGGCTGTTCTGTGCTCTATAATTTACTAGTTGTGACACAGAACTTGGCCTCTAATGCCTGAAACATTTAGAAACTGGCTTCAGAAAAAGCTTTTGGACTCCTGGCCTAGATTCTCATCCATGTACACCACCAGGGAAGCACACACTGAAGCTCACTTCTATAAAATGGGTATAATACCTCACGAGAGGAATTTTTCGCAAGATTACGCCTACATGCATAGACTCACCTTCAGATACTGCACAGAGGGAGCTCTACGAACTTACCCCTTCCTCAGTCCAGAATCATGGGGTGTCTTGGAGTGTGGACTTCAGGGCAAAGATCTTGGATTCCATCCTTGGTGCCAATACTGATGACCAATGACTACTGATACTATGATGCAGTGAGAGGTGGCAAAGGATGGAGGCTGATGCTTAGACTGGAAGCCAGAGAAATTTCCATCCTGCCTCTCCAATTCACTAGCTGGTCACTTGGGGAAAATTACTTAACCTCTTAGTTTCTGCTTCCAAATCTGCGATATGGTTGGAAAAGAATGCCGATCTCACTGGGTTGTGGTGAGGATGAAATGACTTGATAGATATAAGGCGATTAGAGCAATGTCAACTAAGCCCTGTGTGTTTGCTCTTGATTCCCCTCATTGAGGACAAACGCTTCTGAACTTTATCTGCCCTATGTCAGCATCCCCAGCTCCAAACACTTCCCTCACTACACAGTGGCCATAACAGCCTTTCTCCTTCAAATCGTGCCAACTTTTTATTTTCTCATGAGGCATCTGTAGTCTTACCAGTGAATTCAGGGCCCAGCACAGGACTTTTTTCTGAAATACAGCACAACACATGATATCATCTTCCAAAACCTTTGACAAATGTATACATGACTTGAAAAGATAGATAATGTGGATGAGGCATTTGAGCAGGCAATGGGAAAGTAACTGGGCCCAAGATGCTTCTGAGCGTTATGATGTATGAATGGCTAAGGCATGAAGTAACCACCTTCAGTAACTCACTTTCTCTTTACCTTTTCTTTTACTTTTATCCCCACTTCCTGTGCCACTATCTAGACAAGTGTTAGGCCTGAAAGGACAGTATAAAATGTGTGCAGTGAAAGAACAAATGAATGGTAAAGCAGAACTCAGGCAGGTGTGGGGAAGATGAAGTAGTACCTGTTATTTTGCTCTTGTATCAGAAGTACAGGTACTTAGTTTTGAGTAGCTGCTTGTGTCTATTTGGTGCCTCCCCTTTCCCAAAGGCGCACCCCCTCCTCCGGACACACTGCCATCTTACAGGACCAGGCTCCAGCTGACTGGCTCAGCTGAAATCAGGTATGTCGCCCCTACTTCCCCCACTGCGGACTGGTAAATTCCACCTCTTCTGTTAATCTGTACTGAAAGACAAATCCCAGATAATGGTGCTGAAAGTTTACACTTGGGAACTCAGAGTAGCCTTTTTCTCCATCCACACTGTGAAGGAAGTTGATTTATTAAGAGAATGAAGCCAAAAGTGAGAAGCCAGACAGGAGAGAGGGTCTGGATGGAGCCTGAGTCCCAGTTGGCCCGGACACCCACCCAGCCCCCTTCAGCATTACCTGTTCCTTTATACTTTCGTCACGCAACATCACGCAGTATCCTTTCAATGAAGCCAACTATGACTATGCTAACTCAGGTAGGGCCTGCCTACGCAATCCTCCTCCTGCAATCCTCCTGTAAACCAGCTACAGATTTCTTAAAAGCAGTGCCAGGGTCCCACTCCAAAACCATGAAATTGTTCTCTGTGGTGTGGGTTTGGACACTGGAAATGCAAAGAGGCATCCAGGTTATTCTTCCAGATATTTCATTTCATTCAAACTCTCAGGAATATTCATTATGACAGGGGGTCCAGAGATGTACCTGAATCCTCACAGGTCTGATTTCATATAGTTAAGTTTTCAAACGTGTAGCATTTGAGCAGCTATTTGGGTCTGTCTGGTGTCTCTCCTTCCTGAGAGGAGCACCGCTCCCCCACACCTGGACACGCTGCCATCTTCCAGGACAAGGCCCACTGGCCCTGCAGAGATGAAGCAAATTTTAACTGAAATAAATCTAAAGGTTTCAATTTCACATCTACATATTGATATCCTTTATTTATCTATCATTCTTTAAGCAAATTACAAATCTACTTTTCAAGGAGGAAAGCTTGCCATTACTGAGGATATCTTCACCACTTTACTGCAACTCGCAAAACAGGCATGTTCCACAAGACAGCAGCACACACTTTGCTTTTTAAGGTGAATTCTCTAGTAATGCTGGCACACTCCTCTGCCCACGCTTGTGTAAGGTGAAATCACTGCCTCACATCTCATAACAGATAAAGATGGGGAGTCAAGGCATTCACACGACTTCTGGTCATTTGCTTTAAGACTGTCCAGGCACAAATTAACTAACATACGATGTTATTTAATGAAAGGAAAGAAAGAAAAGCACAAAGAAAAAGAAACGCCCTTCATGGTCTCTCATTCATCTCGTCAATGAGCACACATAAGGCAGCGTCTTTCTCTATAATCTGGTCTCTCCTGTGACCTGAGCTTTCTCTCTGTTGTTCATTCTGTCCAGTACAATTGTTGTGATCCTCAGCATCCATCGGTTCAGTCTTTACTCTCATCCCTGCTTCTGAGTGGGGCAAATCATCAGGCAAAGAAGCCAAGCAATTCTGAATCATCTCAATGACTCTTTCCAGATGCTTCTGAAACCTCTCAGCTGTTTCAAGGCGCTGTCGTTTCTGCACCTCCATCATGACTCTCAAAGTCTCTCTGGCTTGGTGGGGTCGGTATTCGTTTATGAGATGATGCACATGGACAAAAAGCAACTTCAGATCTTCTAACTTCTCTTCCCGCTTTATACTTCCCGGGCTCCGTATCAAGATGTCTAAGAGGTCTAGGAAATTAATGAGGATGGACATGTTGAGTTTTCTCAGTTCTTTCTTGTGATCAAACTGCATAGGATGAAGCCGTTCGATGCCCTGACTTTCTAAAGGGCGGATGATAAGATCATCACATTGGAACTGGTTGCCAAACATCATATAACTGTCTTTTATCGGAGGCGGGGGCTTGGGGGCGAGGCCTTCCTGAATATTCTCGTCCGTATACTCCTTGATGTACTGCATCGGAGGTGGTGGAAGGGCACTCACTTGCTGTGGCTCACCCATTGCGGAAGATGGAGAACCTACAAAGAGAAACAAAACAAAGATTGGAGTGGAGCTGCAAGACCAACTTGTCACAATGGGTCACTACAGGCAAATTTGCTTATTTTTCTGAAGCTCCGGGCCCAGGACAAAATGATCTCCTCAGCTTTCAATAGAGAAAGGCTGCCATTCTTTTCTAATTAGGTGGTATACCCTCATCCATCCGAGTATTTTTTCTTACCTATTTAACTCTTTCAGCTACTCAATAGTATCCTTCATCTATGAAGAAAATTTCCTGGACACACACCCCTCACTGGTTAACCCCATTTTCTACTTCCCTATCTAGTCAAGCTACACAGTTCCTGTCTCCCCATCCCAACGCCACAAGCACAAGCACAAGATGATGCCTTATATTATAGATTGATTTCCAAAGGCAAACACTTACTTAAAACTCTAATAAATATGGCAAAATTAACCTTGCTATCTTCCAGACAGCTAATATCATGAGTTTTGAAACCAGGAAATGATGACCCAAATCCACAAACCCCCCCCCCTCTTTTTTTCCTGTAACATACTCTACGTTTTCTTATGAACACATAACACATCTACTGCAGGATTTTCAAACCCACTTTAAGCTTAGCTGTATCATGAAACGAGAAGATTCCAAGTGGTCATCTGGACTGACCTTGTCAAGTTTTCAAGATGTAACACCTTCTTACACCAGAATTTGTGAGGTCTAAGAGCAGCTGTGAGGCACAGGCTGCTGATGAGAATCTAGTGAGGCAGTCACCATGAGCACCCTGTTCCCATGATGATGGCTAGCTATATTCCACAGTTCACAATTTTAACTAGTCTTCTGCTTATTCCTTTTTGTTATTACCCTTTCTGGCCTCAAACTTCTACCTCCACAAAAACTGCTCATCCAGGTCATCAACCATCGTCACACAACCAGCTCTTTTTCTGTGGTCATCTTAACCTCACTGCAGCATCAGCAGCATTTTCTTCCTTTCCACACACTTTCCCTTCTCCCTCAGCTTCTGGAACCTGTACATCTATGTTTTCTTACTACCTCATTGGCCACTTGGTTTCCTTTACTGCCTTCTTCTTTATCCAAATTTTAATGATATGTGCCTCAGAGAGCTGTCCTGGGTCCTCCTCTTTCTAAATTAGGGAGCCACAAACTCAAACACCAAAGGGAAAAGGCAGGCACCTTAAAGATGAAAACCCTCTAAGTCAAGGATTAAAGCACATGCATGCAGACTTCAACGCCTCCAGGCAAAGGCACTGATGTGAGAATACAGGTTCACAGTTGCTCAGTTTCTTGATTTTTTGAGAGCAAATACAGATTTTTAATGTGAATCTTTCAATTTTAAATATTGGTTAATGAAATTCAGAAACTGACAAGCAGTGTGTGGTCAACAATAATTTACCTACAACAATCAGTTCTAGACCTCTGATTTATATTTTCTCCCTTGGGTGACCTCAATTCTTTCCTAATGTCATTTCTATGTGATTCTCAAACAGGGGTAATTTTTCCCAGCAGGAAGCATACATCATAACAGAGGGAGGGGATGCTACTGGAATCTAAGGAATAGAGGCTGGGGATGCTGGTAAACATTTTTACAAAGCAAAGGACAGTGTGCCCCCACTCCCGACTAAGAATTATACAGCCTGAAATGTCAATAATCTGTGCCAAGGTGGAGAAATGCTGGTTTGCATTTCTGACTTTATCTCCAGTCCTAAGATCCTGCTGAATGTTCACAGGGCATTCACACTTAAATATCATTTTTTTATTCTATGATTTCATCCACTACACACACATACACACACACACACACAACCCCTTTCAGCAAAATGATCCCATTTCCCAATGAGTGTTTCAAGCCATAAAGCTCAAGAAAGACTTAATCCTCCCTTTTCATCAATCTCCCCTCGATACCATATCTTCCAGATCTCAAAATCATCAGTTCTGACCAAGCCACTATTCCCTCTTACCTAGAATACAATGGTTTCCCGAGGGATCTTTCTGCTTTCAGTGTCAGTCTTCTACATAATAAACACCTTGTCTTTCTTCCTATTTCCTACCAACATTGTCTTCCATCCATACTCACAAGTCCTGAATGCTACCAATCGCTTCTGCCTTTGGATCTTTCCATATGCTTTTCTTTCTGCTTCACGTACTAGCTTAAAACGTCATCCTTAAATTATTAACTTCTTTAATTACGCAGCTAAAGCAGATCCTGCTTCTCTCCCCCCTCTCCCTCTCTCTCCTTTAAACCAGTACCTAATTTGTCTCCTTTGGTTAGTCTATCAGCTCCATGAGGGAAAGGCTGTGCTGATCATAGCTCTTACTGTGCTCAAAGCTTTGCACACAGGTGCTCCACAAACATTGTTGAGCAGCTCCATTCATTTCAACAGGGCTCCAAATCAATGGGAATTTGGAAATAGGTGCACACATCCTTAATTAATGCTCACTCCTTCAGCTTGCCCTGTACAACAATTACTACCCAGGGAGGTTGGTTATGATGACAGGTAATGCCTGAGGACACCTTATAAGCTAGGCACTGTTTTAAATATTTTCATGGTTGGGAGAAAAAGCCACTTTTTACACTTTAGAGCTCAGACAACTGTGGCTCATAATGGTTGAATCAGTTGAGTAAAGTCACAAAGTAAGTAGCAAAGGAAGAGATCCAGAGCCTAACCTCCCACACACCACACTACAGGCTCTCTCAAGGATAAACAAGAAACACTGCCTCCACTCAAGTGTTGTTCTATCAAGGGAAACTACAAAAGATAACCAACTACAAGCTATTACCAAAAATAAATCTAAAAATTTCGTACAGGAAGCTCTAGCATAAACAAAATTAAGACAATCTCTTTTTCTTTTTTTATTTTAACATGTAAGTTTCGGGAGTGCATCATTAAAAGCTGACTTCTGTATAGATTACATTAAGTTTACCGCTAAAAGTCCAATTCTATACTTCATCATACAATTGACTCCTTTTACCCCAGTTACTCAAACCCCTTTCCCTTCCAATAACCACGAATAGGTGTTACAGCCCAAAAGTTCACAGATTTTTATTTATTTATTTCATCTCTTCCTCTCGGTATTGAGTGAAATCACACGGTGTTTATCTTTCTCTGGCTTATTTCACTAAACATAATTCCCTCTAGGTCCATCTATTATTGAGAGCAGCAGGATTCCATCTTTTGATAGCTGCAGAGTGTTTCAGTGTTAGGACACATACATAGATACACTACTCTTTATCCATTTGTCTGTTGATGAGCACATAGGTTGTTGCCAGCTCCGGGTTATTTTAAGTAAAGCTGCAATAAATATGGGGGTGCATATATCCCTTCAAATTAAGTGTTTTGAAGGCATTTTTTTTGGTAAATACTTAGAAGTGACCAATCCTATTTTTCAATAGAAAAATATCTGCAAGATAACAAAGGGCAAATATCATAAATGTTGTTTGATTTGTTAAAAATGCACCTCAGGGCCTCCCTGCCTCCCTTGGTGGCGCAAGGGTTAAGACACAACCTATGAAGCTATCTGCAGCCACTGCAGCACGAGTTCGATTCTCGGCCCGCCAGGGAGCAGCCCACATGGCACAGCAGATGTCTCCTGGCTCACTGCTCCCCTCAGCAGTGTACTCCTCTCCGCTCTTCCCTCAGCAGTGTACTCCTCTCCGCTCTTCCCTCAGCAGTGTACTTTGGTCAGTCTGCCTTTTCTGTTCCCCACTCTGTCTCTGGTGAATCCTCTCAACCCCCGTGCCTCTAGCCTGTACCCCAGCTCTTGTATGCATAAATAAATCTTTTTTAAAAAATGTACCTCAAGGGCCTCCCCGGTGGCACAGTGGTTGAGCACTGGGTTGCGAAGCTGCCTGCGGCCTCTGCGGCGCTGGTTCGATCCCCGGCTGCTCCCTGGCCACCAGAGGAGGGTCCCACATGGCGCGCAGACCTCTCCTGCCGCCCGCTGCTCCCCTCAGCAGTGTACTTCTGTCCTTCTGCCTGCTCTGCTCCCCGCTCTGGCTCTGGTGAATTCTCTCACCCTCCCATGCTTCTGACTGTACCCAGTGCATGTATAAACAAAACAAACTAGCAAATAAAATAAATAAATAAATAAAACATGCCTCTATAAAAAAAAAAAAAGCATAAAAAAAATAAAAAAAAAAAATGTTTTAAAAAATGTACCTCAAACAATGATTAGGAAGCTTTATCCTTAATAAAGACTTACTGATTTTTTAAAAAACTCATATTAATAGAGAAAGGAAAAATAGGCAAGATGATGAAAATGCAGATGCTGAATAAAGGTGGGAAAACTGATTCAGACCAAAATACTTTCATCAGCAAATTTTTCAAAGGGACATTTTTATTCTAACAGACGACCAAGATTTCAAACAGTCCATCATTCAACATATACTATAATACCTTCTTTGTGGCAGATTCTAGATTCCAGCAGAGGCAATTCTCCTCCCTCTCAGTTTCTTCAGCGAGGTCATCCCAATTTTAGAAGTGGTCTCTTAGCTATTCTGGCCCTACAGGAAGACGTTCTGGAGTGGAGCCCCTACTCACCTCAGCTCCCACCAACGTGATCAGTGCATAACACTTTTAAGTGGCAGGACAGCACCACCCAAGAGATTACAGAGAATTCTCATATACAACGGATAGGAAAACAAATAAATATATATTTTGAATTTAATTTGGCAGTACCAAAATTCTATTTTATTTTTACAACTCTGCTTATACCCTTTTTTAAAATTAGATAATCGATACAGATTCACATCTCTTCAAATGATGTTAACACACCACATCCACTACCAAAGTACTAACAATCCTTCACTATAGTCCACAGGTACCCCTCTACCTTTTGCTCTTAGCCTCCTTTCCCAGTATCAAAATTTTAAATACTGATATTCTTTGAATCTAAAATTCTATTTCTTTGAAATTTATCCTACAAAAATGCCAATGCAGTTACACATAAATGTATATAAAGATGTTTAACGCAGCAATATTTGAAAAGAGTTGGGAAAGTTGGAAATAAACCATGATAAAATATGGCTGGAAAAAATGTCTACAGAGTACAATACAGCTATGAAAGTAAAGGAGGCGAAGGTGTGTGGGGACTGTTTCGATTATGTACCAAACAATTATGATAGTTACAAATACAGTCAATAGAAATCACACATCTGGATCTTACTGGGATAACAACATGTGGTGCTGACTCTCTGGTCAAGCTGGGCAGTGACGAAGCTCCCAAACAGCCCTGGAGATCACAAGGATAAACAACACACTCTACAGACTGTTTTTCACTTTCAGTGCCACAGTAAATAAAAAGCATGAGATCGTCAACACGACTGTAAAATCCACTTTGTGTTAGACCGGTTTGTCCAACTACAGACTAATGCAAGTGTTCTGAGCAATTAAGGTAGGCCTCCTTAAGCTATGATGTTCTTTAGGCTGGGCATATTAAATGCTTTTTTGACTTGTAATATTTTCAACTTATGACAGTATTATCAAAAGGAACCCAAATATAAGTTGAGGAAGACCTGTAGCTATTGCCAACTTTCACTTTTTAAAATTTTAACATAAATTCAGACTTAGGAGTTTCATGAACAGTACAAAAAGCACTATACTCTTCGCCCGGACTCTCCAAATGTTAACATTTGTCCTCATTTGCCTTACTGGTGGCTCATTCCTAGACCCCCAAATCCTTCCCTGCTGTAGCTATGTCTGCTTATAACTACATCATAATTAGCAAAATCAGAGAACTGTCCTTAACCTGGTTCTTCAAGATGAAACTTTTTAATACCCCCCCCCCAAGTCTCAGTGCACTCAAGTCTTTTGAGGTGGGGAGCCCAGTTTTGTGCTTTCAAGGTGCACCTGCACTCCTTTATTTGTAATTTTTCCGAAGCCAACTGCCCTCTCTTAGTATTCATGACAAGTCTACGAGCTAATAAGCACACGATCGATTTCACTTGAAGAGATGAGTATCCCAAGTTGAGATCCTGGCAAGTGTTCACGTCAGATCAAGAAATGAACCAGTGGCCCAGAAGAAAGAATCCTAACCCTACATCCCAGGTCCTTTTAGCTGCTCCGTGCAAACTCTTGCAAATCTGCAGCTTAGGAAACTTAATTGTACGAAGGGGACTTGACATATGACGAAAAATTATGTTTATCTCTCTCAACTCTCCAGTGGCACTTCAGAGTCGGTCCTGCCTCACCTTCTACCTTCTGGGTCCGCCCCAGCAGGCGGGCTTCGGCCAGGCCCCCCCACCCCACCCCCCGGGAGGGACCACTGTGTCTCCAGAGAGCAGGCTCCCTGCAGATGACTCCGACGACGCGACTCAGGACCCCTCTCCGCCCCTGTCAGCAGATTTCACTACTGGCCTGAGGAAGACGCGCAGGACGAGGCCGCGAGCCGAGCCGAGCCGAGCCGAGGGCACCCAGCTCTGACGACCCGCGGCCGCCGGTCTCCCTCGCCCGGGTACCCCCGACCACCGGGCCCGGAGCGGCGGTGGGAGGCGGCGAGAGCACAAGGTGCCGGCTCCTCCGACCCCACTGAGTCGCTCCCCAAGGAGAAACGCTCCCCGGCGGGGAACTGAGCCGTCGCCGCCCACTCACCTCAGCTCTCGGTTTACAGTAGCTCCCGCCTTGGCGACCGCAGCCAAATCCGACTTCCGGCCTCCTCCTCTTCCAGGAAGAGGCGCCTGATGCCGGCTCTGAATTGGCTGAAAGAGCTGTCCGTTAAGGGGCTCTAGTCCCGCCTCTGGACGACGGCTCGATATTACGCCTGCGCAGACTTCCCGCCCGCCTCTGGGCGCTGTGGTAGTGGGCGGGGCTTGTGCGTGGGGGCGGGCCTCTGTGTACTTTGCAGCAGTAAACTCGGAGGGTGCTGTCTCCTGGCTTTTTTTACTTTTTTAAAAATGAAATATGGCATCCGTATGCGCTACATCGAAGTTGGAAAATATACATAAGGAGTTTCTTTTTTAATTATGTAGACTCTAACCTCAATGCCAAAAATAACAGAATAAATAAGGTGGTTCAGTTAACGGAGTTAGTTAATAAAAGAGCAAGTTGTTTCCTACTGTTATCATCTTACTTTTTTGTCAGTCATTTATATACAATATTTGAGTATTGTTATATCCACACTTCTATCAAGGACGGTGAATGATACATGCCCAATAATGATAATGCTGTTTATCAAGTATTCTTCATGTGGGAGAGACTTAGTCCATTCCAGGGTCCCAGACATTATCCTTTTGATTTGAATGTCACTTGCCCTGGAAAACTAGACACAAATCAATTATGTATGTCTCTCAAGTAGCACAATTCATCCCAAGCAGTCACATTTAAAGCCAAATATGCCTGATTCCAAGATCTTACTCTTACATCATAGGCTGTGCTAAACTAATACTTAACACTAATCCCCCATAGGTAATAGAATTTTCTTTTGGTAAATGTAAAAGAAATTTTTGAGAACAAGACTTTTTAAAAAATACGTATTATGGTAAAGTAAAATGGACTTTAGATGTCTTTTAAATATTTTTTCATCTGGAGATATTTGTGAATGTGATTGAGAATAAGTAACATGTTTCAATTTCTGTTTCTTCACCATTCAGTTGTTTTTATTTTCAACTAGGAATTCTGAGATGTCTATTATGTTTCCAGGCAACAGATTACCAATTTTTTAAAATTCAAATTTAAAGGTTTCTTTTGGAGGTTATTTCCATAGGATGTGTCAAAAATTCTTATGGGGAACTTACAGGATTTTTAAAAATAAAATCAAAGAATTGTAATTGGAAAATGCCAGTTGAATACAGACAGAAATTGAATCTATAATGAACAATTTATTGTTGGAAAGCAAGCAATCTGAGAGAACAGGGGTATTTTAACTTAAAAGCCCCTTCTAACATCTCATTTCAAGTTAGCTTTTTTCTAGTGAACTAAACAAACACAGTTAATCACAAACATCCTCCCACCACAACAGCTCATTACAGTTGGTGCCTGATCTTCACCATGTCCCCAGAATTTGTTGCCTCCTTGGTCATCTTGACCCAGGTACACCCTATTTTCCTGGGCCTGGGAAAACATCTCTGTTCTCCCGATGATGTCAATGTCCAACACTTCTTTAGTTGTCTCTGGGGCAGAATTCTCAGTTCAAAATAAGAGTTCCAGTTCAAAGAAAACAGATTATTAATCACATGATATTTGCATGTAACCTATGCCATGTGTGTATGTGCAGATTCCTATATTAAGTATGCCCTCCCCTCCCCCCCAGCCTCTCTCAGAATCTTATTTTAAAGAGGTAAATTGGAAAACATTTCTCACAATCACCTTATTTTTTACATGTAAAATGTTCTTGCAGACACTTACAAACCCAGCATCAACAATTAGACACCCATAGGCATCATCACTTCATCTTTAAATATTTCCACAAAAATTCATTTGTAAATGATTATGATCTTTTTCCCAGTTAATAAATGTTCATTGAATACCTGCCATTGTCAGGCACTCTCCTAAGGACTAAGAATGCAGCAGTGAGTGAAACAAAACTCTACGCTCAGGAAGTTTGAATGGAAAGAAAAATAAACAAAATAAACAAATGCATGTATTAACATGTTACCTAGCAATTATTTTGTCTGTCTTACTACCCCATTGGTAGGTTTATAAACAATAATCTCTGAACTCTTATTAGTCAATGACACTGTGTCTCTGCTTGTCGATCAGTCCAGGCAGGAGAAATGGAAACTAGAAATTAAATACTTCATATCCAGTCCCTATTTCTTCCTATGAAATGATTTTTATCAGCTCATTCATCTAGTTCAAACAAGGCACGTTGGATGAGAGTTACTATTAATGCCTGTTCCCTGCAGTCTGCTTTAGAATTGTAACTCCTCCTCATCATTTTCACTGTTGTTGACTCATGGTACAAATGAGCTTATCACTAATAATCCCAACAACATAGACATGTGCGCAGCAGGCTGGGAACCCTTCTGTTTTGCCTGCTACACCTTTCCACAGCAGTAGGGGGCAGCAGTAACCATAGTATTCGGAACTCCACCCCCCGCCCCCCGCCCCCCCAAGAAAGTCTGGGACACCAGACTTTCTGGAGGTTCCATTGAGGGACAATGCAGCTTATCTCTTGCAGGTTGAATAACTTTAAAAGCTTTTAGAATGCTACCCAAAAAAGACAGGTAAGCCATTTTGAATTATTGTGGTAGCTGTTTTTGTAGGTAAGTCTACATTTACACTATTATGTGAAATTTCTCCAAAGAAAAAGTAACCATGCCGTTACCATATCTGTCTTTAAATTATCATAAAATCTGCCCATGTTACTAGTTGGTTGATTTCTTACACACTTCCAATGGAATCTGGAAATATTTTGAATGACCTTTTTAGGGCTCAGTCTTGCCTTTTAAAGAGTGGCAGGTAATTGTAATCACATAGCATGTAGCCTCGTCAGACTGGTGAATTTCTCTTAGTTATATGTATTTAACTTTCCTCCATTTTTTTTTTCATGCTTTCTTTTTCTTATTTCTTTCCGTGACTGAATAATATTCTGTTGTCTGGATAAGCCACATCTTACTAACCCACTTACCTACATCTTAAGGACATCTTGGTTGCTTTCAAGACTTGGCAGTTATGAATAAAGTTGCTACAAGCACCCATAGACAGGTTTGTGGGAATATAAGTTTTCAGCTTCTTGGGATAAATACCAAGGAATACAATCGCTGAATCATGGGATAATGATAGGTTAGTTTTATAAGAAATCACCAAACTGTATTCCAAGTAGATTTATGGTTTTACATTCCAATCAGCAATGAATGAACGTGAACCTGTAATTCTACAACTTGTCAGCACTTGGGGATGTCAACATTTTGGATTTTAGCCACTTGAACAGGTGTGTAGTACTGGCTTCCAGAAGTAGATTTTGTGGGAAGATGTTGGTGGAGGAGTTCCCTCAAGACTAGTACTGTGGATGGGAAGGGATGCCCAGGAGAAGGCCAAGCTGCAATTCAGCCCCACAGGGAGGTCTTGGAGTAGAAGGGAACTTCAGAGTTGGCAGGTGTTGGGCTGAGAGGACAAGGCCTTCACACCCCACATCAATCAGCCCTTATCTGGTGCTCTAGGAAGAGCTTACCTTGGGCAAGGGAGCTCTCTGAGGTCAAGGCAACTTCCAAACTCACTGCCAGCTGAAGGCAGCAACACTAGCTGGGGCCACACCTCCTCCGTTGAAAGAATATCCACCCCAGGTGGATATTTCAAAGGAAAGATGTCTTTCAAAATATCCTCTCCATGATAATGCTAAGTGAAATAAGTCAGAGGTAGAAAGGCCCCATTTATATGTGGAATATAGAGAAACATAACAATGGGTCAGTCAGAAGGAAACCAATAATAAACTCAACATCTCACTGCAAAACTGAGGTCTGGCAGCAGTGGGATTCAGGAAGGGAGGTGACCAATGGAGCAGAGTGAAGGGTTGTTGGGGCCCTGGTGGTGGGCAGGGCATGAAAGTGTACATTTGTAGAGGTTTGAACCTATAAGCCCCAGAGCATATAACCTATAACCTATTTCACCTCAATAAAAAAAATTCAGAAAGAAAAAAAAATCCTCTCCAATCTCTTCCTTTTGTAGATCCTGTGGCAAAAGACAGAAGTAATGTAATAGTTCTCTTCACAGCAGCTACAGGGCCCAATACAAATGGGATTTGATCAAGTCCTCTTCCCTACATAAACCTTTCAATGACCTCCCATTACTCAAAGGTCAGAAGTCCAAATCTTATACATGAACTTTAAAACCTCTTCCAGCCTGCCCCCTTGCTCCATCCCCAGCACCCCTCTTCTCACCCTGCCCTACCACCCATGGCAGTCTGCTGTCAGTGTTTCCAGGCACCTTACTGCTTCTCCCAGTGCCACTCTCTCCTCTGTCTAAAAGAGCCCGCAAGATCACAGCCATATATGACCCTGTTTCCCAGCTGGCAAGCACTCTCTCTCATTTTGTGTATGTGTGTGTGTCCACCAGACCCTAACTAGTAACCCACCATTCAGGGCCTGATTGCACTCACAACAGCAGAATTGTTGCTGTGGTGATGAATGTTGCTATCAAAAATATTGGCCTTCATCTGATAGGTTATATGGAGTTGATGCTCCAATTGATAGCTCCCTCAGAGGAAGAAGCCTGCTGCTTTGAAATCCTTGGGTATTCATGCATGCCTCACCTGATGAACTGTCAAGATAGATAAGAAAATGCAGATAGAGTGCCTGGAAGAGCAAATCATGGGGGGAAGGGCAGTCTGCACTTACTTCAGTGGTATTCTGGCAGTTGTGAGTCTGCTCAGCTAACACCCTAGTGGACTGGGTTCCCGTTAAAGAAGTCCTTTGGGGTGTTGGGTGGGAGTGCGTAAAACCAAGAACAAAACAAAGGTAAAGTAATGACTGTCTGCAGAACCCATGAGATGAGAGATAATTCAGCCTGTGGTATACTGTAAATTTGGGGTTTGAAGGCCAAAGTTTTGGGAAGAATTCCACTTTATGTCTTTCCTGTACCTCAAAACCTCTCACACTCCCATGAGGCTTCCACATAGGCCCTGTGAGATCTTTGAAAATCTGCCCCTTCCTCGCCTTCTACCTGTATCCACTGCTTCAGAAGCTTACTCCAAAGACGCCTGATCCCTGGTGTCTGGTGGTTTGTATATCAGAAACCACTTGATAGGATTCTCCAGAGCCCCTGAGAAGGGCTTCTCTTGCTCTCAAACCACCCTCCTCCCAGAGAACCTCATTTCTCACCTCCTCCTCCTCCTCATATGTTCTACAGAGAAAGTCCCTTAAGTTTTACTGGCAATCCAACTTCTGTCCTAGTAGATAGTGTCACAGAGGAGAGGCTGAGATGACCCCCAACCCCAAAGACACACACCCACATGCACAGACCACAGTTCTCAGACCCATTTTTCTCAAATTCAGTTTTTATCTTTTGTTATTAAACATTTAATGATTTCACAGACTTATATAATATACTTACAACTTTTTTTTAATTGATCAGGCAACATAAGTTCCTTTTTCACAATTTTTAAAATTAACATTCCCACATCTAATGTGCTTTTGGAGTTGCTTTCCACAGGCATTCATAATTTACAAAGTTCATCAGTACGTAGCACTTTAAATTGTTGTTATTTCTTAACAATAAAGCTAGACATTTTCCATGTTCCCATATTCTGAATATTTTTGTCACTTAAAATTTTTATTTTGTAATTATTGAAAGATGCTTTTCAGGTTTACCTATTTTGTCCTTGTTCTCTCAATGCATGTATGAAAAAGTAAAACATAAGTGAAATAAATTGGTTAAGGAGTTTCTTAACCACTGCCTGGATGATAGAAATTCATAACCATCCTGATTTGAAATGCTAAAAAAAAAAGACACAAGAATGAATTATGAAAGACACCCCTTGCTGAGAAGAACCATTGCCATTTCTGTTATTAAGACTCCTTCTTGTATCTCCCAGCCCACCCTCCCTCCTAGCCCCAGTATATATTCACTATCCTGAATATGTATTTTAGCTAATTCATACCCCTAGACATACTGTTTGATGGTAATTTTGAACTGTTCTATAGAAGACTTGCTTTTATTAATAGACATTGTGTGAATTTTATTAATCAACATTGTGTGAGATTTACCCATGGTAACTTGGATGGCTTCAATTCATTTAACTGCAAGCATTCATACACCACAATCTGTCAGTTCTGTTTGATGGACGTTTGCCCTATTTCCAGGGTTTCATTATTACCCATCGTTTTACGGTCAACATTCTCCCAAGTGTCGCCTGGCAAGCATGAGGGTGTCTCGGGGTGTATATCCAAGAGGACGGAGAATAGGTAAAATTAGTCAGGGATGGGTACGCTCTTCCTGCAAAGGGTCAGATAGTAAATGTTTTACTTTTTTTTTTTAATTTTTTTAAGATCTATTTATTTCTGCATACAAGAACTGGGGTACAGGCCAGAGGATTCACCAGAGACAGGGTAGGGAGCAGAACAGGCAGATTGACTGAAATACACTGCTGAGGGGAGCAGCAGGTGAGACAGGAGAGGTCTGCTGTGCCATGTGTGTAGCTCCCTGGCTGAGGATCGAGCTTGTGCTGCAGTGACTGCGGCTAGCTCCATAGGCCACATCTTAACCTCTTGCGCCACCAAGGAGGCCCAAGACAGTTAAATGTTTTAGACTACAGACTATACCATCTCTGTGGCAACTACTCAAATCTCTCATTTTAATGCAAAAACAGCCAAAGACCACATATAAATGAATAACTATGACTATGTCCCAATAAAACTTTATTTACAAAACTAGGCAGCCAGAAAGATGTGGCCCTCAGGCTGCCGATTCCTGACTAGATGATAAACCTCACTGTTCTGGTAGCCTACAAATGCTTTTGCATCCTTTCTTTCCTCCTGATTGTCCCAAGGGGACGTGAGTCCTGTCTTTGCTTAGTCTGTGGACTGGACTGAATGTCCCTGTGTAGAACCCACCAGGGAAAAGAGGAAAAGGAGCACAGGGACATGATGGTGGTGATGCCCACAGTGGAAACCAAAGGCAGAAAGGGGTTGTACAGGTCATGCATACTGGATGTGCAGCGCATGGATAAGAGGTGGGGGTGCTGCCTGGGGTGTCATGCTGCAGCATAAGTCACATCATACTAGCCACTGTGAGGTCATTACCAATGGATTTAGAAACAAACAGAAGACAGCCTTTCCTTTGACAATGGTTGCTTCTTTTATTAAAGAAAGTTGGAATTTACTCTGTAGGGATACTTCCCTGAGGCTGGATCTCCACTGCAGCTTCCTGCCCTGGCTTGGTTTAAGTGGATTTGGCTTCTATGAATATGGCCTCCATCACCTCAGTTGTCACAGTCCCACTGATCTCCACGTCTGAGCGATCGGGGCATTTCTCCAACTTAGCTTCTATGTTGTGCTTCTCCACGGTCGCAGTCACGATGTCCACCCCTCTTTCCTGTGAGGTGAGTAGAGCTTTGGAGCCAGGAATGACTTTGAAACTCCGGAAGAAAGAGCTGATCTTGCTGGATTTCTTGCTTAGAGCGGCTGAGTTGGGGGCCGACCGGCTCTTGGCCACCTTGGGCGCTGTCCTGGCCTCCTTCTTGCCGGTGGAGCTGTGGCTGGAGCTTTTGTGGGAGCTGCGGCCCCGGCCCCGGCTGCTCTGCCCTTTGTCCTTCTTGTTGTCCTTCGAGCTCCCGTGGCCCGACACGGAGCGGTGAGAGGATGATTTGCGAGTGGACTTGTCGGCCCGGTGGTGACCTTCCCCGGCCCGGTGGTGACCTTCCCCGGCCCGGTGGTGACCTTCCCCGGCCCGGTGGTGGCGGGAAGTCTTCCTGGAAGAAGTTCTGTCTTTCTTTTCTCTTCTTTCCTTCCTGTCTTTGCGGCTTTTGGCGCCGGGCTGGCTGACCTTCTGGCTGACCTTCTGGCTGCCGTCACGCTCGCTCATGTAGCCTTCGCTCTTCAGGGTGGACACCAGGGGCGCGGGGCACGCGGCTTGCTCGGCGGCGGGCAGGGGCGCTGTGATGGTGCCCGCGAACACCACGCTCAGACTGCTGCGCTGGGACGTGCTGCGGCTCGCCGTGCCGGAGGACTCGCACACCGAGGGCGTGCTGGCCGCGCCGGCCAGGGCCGCGCTGGTGCTCTCGGTGGAGATGTTGGCAGCAGCTGCGATCATCTTGCCAGAGACGCTTTCCCTGGAGACCTTGGTGGCAGCTCCGGCCACGGCCGCGCTGCCGGGGCTCGAACTCGGGCCCTCAATCTTAGTGGCGGCGAGGCTCGCAGCGCCCCCGGCCGGGCTCGAGCGGGTCCCAGCGACCGCGAGACCCGCGGCTGGGCTCGAGCGGGTCCCAGCGACAGCCACGCCCCCGGCCCCAGCCGGGCTCGAACCGGTTCCGGAGACTGCCAGACCCCCAGCCGGGCTCGAACGGGTCCCAGCGACAGCCACGCCCCCGGCCGGGCTCGAACCGGTTCCAGCCACTGCCAGGCCCCCAGCTGGGCTCGAGCGGGTCCCGGTGGCGGCCAAGGCCTTGTCAGGGCTTGTACCGGTTCCGGCGACGGCCAGGCCCCCCGCTAAAGTGGTCCCGGGCAAGGACACTCCTGCTGGTTTGCGTGCATTCGTGGGGGTTTTCGGGCCTATGGATGTCCCGCCACGGGGGGCATACTGGATTCCCTCTCCCCCAGCATAAGCAGAAGAGGAGATTCCAGACACATCCTGAAGTTTGTAAAGGCCAGTCTCAATCCTTTCTCCGGGGGACTCTGGGGTCTGGGTCAAGGGAGGAGAAACAGGTGAGACAGAAATGACAAAGTGAGGCCCCACTGACTGCTCTTCTCTCATCCATCCAGAAACTGAGCAATTCATGGGGTGTAAGACTAAAAGTACCTTTGAAATTAACATAAGCTCCTATTAGGTGGGTATCCCTTCCTACAGCACTGGGTAATCCTGTGGGGGGAAGCAGTACTAATAGGATTAGTACTAATAGCAGTACTAATAGGAGTACTAATAGGATTCCCCATCCTCATACACTTTTATTTAACACACTTGTGCGTATATCCTGCAGAACAGATTCTTAGAAGTGAGGCTGGTGGATCAAAGGATCCACATATTTGCCTTTGGGTGGGAGGGACCTATCAAAACAAATTGTGCGTGTGCAGACACTGGGAGCTTGTGCTGCCTTTAATCAGCACAGGGTAGTCACTGGGACAAAGAAGGAAAGATTCCTAATTGTTGACAATGTTCTACAACCGATGAGGCTCCCTGGGTTGGGGGAGAATTCCAGAAGAGACTGGACCAACAGGATACTGCAAAAGGGATTATAACCTTGGGGAATCAGCCCAGGCACCTTAGGTGCCTCTGAAGGTCTCTGAAACTTGGACCTGGTGGGACAATTTGGAGAAGCACTCAGAACTTCCCTGAAGTGATGTCCCAACGTGTTGCCTCATCTGGCCCTGAGACTTAAAATGGAATGCATTTCCCGAGGGAGCCTCAGAGAACACTGAAGTCTTAGTAGGACCTGCTCTGAGCTGCTCTCCTCAAGCCCTCTGCCCCCTTGTGTTGCATCTCTGTGGATGCTTACCGCCAAACTTTTGTCATCCTCTGTGGCCGTATCCCCAGTTTGGAGTGTCGGGCTACTGCTGCAGCTCTCCATTGGTGGTCTCAGGAGATAGACAAGTTTTTCCCAATAGCAAAAGAGGTCTTCTCGGGCGTCAGAAGAGGGACACAGTTGCAGGTAAAATGTGCGACCAGTGGCTAGCTTCAGGCGCAGCTGTTGTTTCTCACGATCGTGGATGGAGATCTTGACAAACTTCAAGGGGAGTAGCCTGGTGAGTTCGAGGGTCTTGGTGAACCTGCGCCCTTTCCCCCTGGAGGACCGGGCAAGTCTGGCATGATGCTCGTCACAGACTTTAGTTGGGCGGGCCAGCAGCATGACATCAGGCAGCGGGAGGATGGGGCTGGTGGAGGCAATGCCCACGGTTACCATGCGCACGCGGTTGTGCACGTCGATCACCTCTCCTTTCTTGCTGATCTGGATAAAGTCGCTTTCAAACATGGGTGCATACTTAAAAATATCATACTCTCCTCCCTTGTACAGCTGTCGTTGCAGGTCTCCCATGGAGGTATTGAACACACCCATGGAACGGTAGCTGTGGGCTGTGTAATAAGGTAACAAACACTCACCGCTCATGGTTCTCTTCATTCAAGACAACTTTTCCAGCCACCAACCAAGTCCCCGAGAGAGAGAGGGAGTGAAGGCAACTGCCCATCTCCCTGCAGGGCTCTGCTCAAATCTCCTGGTGCCTCTGCACTTATCCTGCATTGTCCTTTGTGACCTGTCACCATCACACAACCCTTTGTCCCAGCCTCTAAGCAGCCACCCCTGAACAAGCCAGGTCAGCCACCCCTGTAAGGCCAGGTCAGCAGCCTCTCCCTGAACAAGCCAGCACCTCCTCCCGGACCAGCTGACAGTGCTGGGGTGTAGGTGTTGGTAGGCTGTTGGGATGCCTCATTTATGAAAGCATTCTGCTCTGTAAATATTTGGGTTATTTCCAGCTTTTTTGATGATGTCATTACAGATCTCTCTGTGATGACCCTCTTCCTGCAGATACACTTTTGCTTCTGCCAAAGTTATTCCTGGGGATAAAACTGTGGAAGTAAGTGTGTGTGTGTGTGTGTGTGTGTGTGTGTGTATGCACGCACACACATTCACTAAAGGTAGAGATCCAGTTAGGATTTTTGTTCTTCACCCCCCACACAGTACAGTTCTTGTTAAAAGAATGACTACCCTCAGGCCTCCCTGGTGGCGCAGGCGGTTGAGCGCCACACTGTGGAGCTGTCGGCAGCCTCTGCAGTGCGGGTTCTATCTCAGCCAGCGAGAGAGCAACCCACCTGACCAGGCGGACCTCTCCTGTCTCGCCCACTGTTCCTCTCAGCAGTGTATTTCGTTCAGGCTGCCTGTTCTGTTCCTGGCTCTGTCTCTGGTGGATCCCCTCACCCTCCCGCACATCTGGCCTGTACCCCAGTTCTTGTATAAATAAATATTTTAAAAAAAAATGACTCCCCTCTTCAAACCAGCGTTCCATTTGTACAGTGGCTTCCAGAGGATGGATGGTGGATGTTCTCATGTGAAGAAGACTCACTTTAATTATCTACTTGCCAGGACTAATAGATTTTTTTATTATTTTACTATTTTATTAAGGAAAATAAAACAAATCAGAAATATAGATTTTATAAAATGCCCTTCTTGAGAGGTCTAGCCTATCACTATTTCAACTGTGACATTTTCCTTATAAATAAGATTTTTAGTTTAATCCAAGTCACCTGCCTCTGACAAAGACAGCAGTGAAAATGGAGAAAAATTGCTCAGCTGTCCTCTTCTAGGTATACTTCATATACTTGGAGATGGGGCCTCCCTGGTGGCACAGGGGTTAAAGACAGCACTATTAAGCTACTGCCAGGCACTACAGCACAAATTCGATCCTCACAGACCAAGGAGCTGACCCACATAGCGAAGCAGGCCTCTCCTGTCTTGCCCACTGCTCCCCTCAGCAGTGTATTTCAGTAGATTTGCCCATTCGGCTCCCCACTCTGTCTCTGGTGAATCCTCTCACCCCACATACCTCAGGCTTACACCCAGTTCTTGTATGCATAAATAAATCAGTCTTTTTAAAAATATACTTGGAGATGGTTATTAAATCTTCCTTCTGCCTTTTGATGCCAAAGGAAGCTAATTTTCAAACACATAATTTTATGGCAAGGAACAGAGGTTTAGAATTATCTTGCTAGGGTCTAAATGCAGAGCCGGATTCTCTCCCAGGCCTTATGACTCAGATCAGGCCAGGACTTTTCCTCGGCGGCATGCTCTCATTATACTCTCATTCTTCACCAAATATGGAATTGCTTGTGGTTAGCAAGCTGTGTGGGACTCACTGGAAGCCACAGGAATTCATAGGGGTCTTGAATCAACATAGGATTTCCCACTGGTTTGCTTGCTGCTTTACTCTTGATGTCTTAACTGATAAACCGTAGATGTTTTGTTTCTTTGAAAAGTTCTTCAGAGAAATTATGGCAAATATATTTTTTGGAGGTTTTTTTTTACTTTGCACAAGGTGAGGAATCCAAATTCCCCCTCCCCCAGTTAGAAGACTACTTCTGAGATAAAATACAACCCCCAAACTCAACAGTTATGTGCAATTCTTGAAATCAACTTCAACCACAACTTTTTTTTTTAACTATCCCTAGTGCCTACCGAAGTACCTGGCACATGGCAGCTTCTCAGGAAATAGGAACTTACTTGTGCACATTGAGATTTGTTCTTCCATCTGTTTATTCAACTGAATTTATTGAGCAAGTAATGCATTTAAGACTAGCTGGAAAATGTAAATACGAAGGTAGAGGTCTCTACATCTGAACATGTTTTTTCTTAAAGATGTTCAATGACAAAAAAGAACAAAGTGGCCTATATTTTATTCTAAAGAGATAATCACTGAAAGCTAACATGATTAGATTTAAAAATAAGAAGTGAGATTTTTCTGTATTTGACTCAACAGTAGAGCCCTCTCATAAGTTCATTTCTGATGAGTGATTAATAATAGAAATCATAATCATATTACTGAGTACTTGCTATACATTGACACTAACCAATTTGCATTCTTTTTGAAAACATTCATTCATACAACAACCCTATAAATGTACATAAAACTATTTACTATTCTTGTATTGTAGGAGAGGAAATCAAAAATTGTAGTTAAGCAAATTTATTGAGATCCCAAAAGACTGAAAGCATGTGGAAGCCCCCAAATGTGGCAGTGATTAAATTACACATATCTGGGTCATACAAATAGCATACAAATGTACAAGCACTGTACAGCACTAATTTATTCATTTAGTTAAGGAGGTTAGATGCCAACTTTGTGCGGGGCCATGTCAAAGCTGCTAGGCTTAGAGCAGTGGAGAAAACAGATACATTCTCACTCTTGTGGTGCTTACAGTCAGTCAGTCAGTCAGTCAGTCAGTCAAATATATTGTATGTCTAACGTCAATAAGTGCTATGGAGAAAGACAAAGTGGGCAAGTGGAACGACAGTGTGGGGAGGGGGTGCAGAGCTGGAGGTGGAAGTCAAGGAAAACTGAATGAGATGTGACATTTGAGAAAAGGAGATGGGGAGGGAGGCTTGCAGATGTTTGGGGGAACCACCTTTCAGTCCAGGGGACTAGTATTGGCCAGGACCCCGAGGTGGGAGCATGCCTGGTGTGTTTGAAGAATAAGGATGAGGGAGGTACAGACAAGAGAGGAACGAGGAAGAAAGGTTAGAAATGAAACAGAGAGGCAACCATCATGGTCCTGAGGATATAGATGATGTGGGTGAGTCTTACAAGACAGCATGAGGGTTCTGGCTTTGCTCTAAATGGGGGATGATCTGTCTGCCATGTTGAAAGTGGTCAGTGATTAGACAGATTTTGATTGAAGCAGCTATTATGTATACTGACAATGAACACTTTTCATTAAATGTTAGTAAGTTTGAAAAAGGGAAGTTGCAAAATAGCATAAATACATGTGCAAAGTGGCATTTATTTTTAATAAAAAATTCTAAGTGTGTATGTGTGTTTGTATGTGTGTGAAAATGCCAAAAAACTGGTACTAGTTGTCAGAGGGAAGTATCGAGATAAGACTTAGCTTTTCAGGGCATTCTATTTTATACCTTTCTGACTTTCTTCCATTTCACTTATGACTTACATAAAAACAAATATTTTAAATTTATAGATTTAAAAAAATTACATATATAAAAATGTAAAATTATATTCTTCAAATATTCATCAATTCAAGTCGTGATAGAGAAAAGTAAATAAATAGCTTCATTCAAATTTAACTCTCCCTGCACAAAATTCCAGAATTTGAGAACCAAAATATAAAACATCATTCAAAATTCATCTTCTGATTTTTCTGTAAGACCTTCCGAAAATTTATTCTTTCCTTGGCACGTTTATAACTCTGACAGTACCCTTCACAAAAGGACGGAGAGCAGTAAGTCTAGATATGTTTGCTGATTGCCTACTGTATACCCATCACTATCTAAGAGATTTCAGGTTGTCAACAGTACATTTAAAAACATGGTAGTCACAAACTGGCAGCCCGAGAGAGAGTATAAAACAGAACCCTCATTCATGCGCAGACCGCATCTCCCATCTTATCCCCTGCCTCTTTGGAGGGTTCTCAATAAATCTGCCATTTCTGTTCTCAAAAAAATAAATAAATAAACATTTTCAACATAATTTTTAAAATACAGGATGCATACATATCAAATATTTAATGAATTATCAGTGAGGAAGTCAGGAGGATGGTAAAGGTGATAGGGAGAATTAAGGGAAGTGGCTTCAACCCTGGTAAAAGAATGTTGGAAACACTGCCAGACAGAATAAAACTTATACAGTGTCTATAAGCCAATAAAAATAAATAACGAACTAAACAGAAATCATTTTTCCCTCTTCAAAAAAAAAAATCTGTAACTTATTTCAGACCTTTGCAGTCTGAGAATTTAATCAATACTAGACTGCCTTCTTAAGGGGTTGAGAATGTTCTAAAATTTTGTGGTGATAGTCACATGCTCCATAAATGTACTAAACACCAATGAACCACACACTTTCAAACTGGTGAGTTTTATAGTAGGTGAAATGTGTCTCAATAAAGCTGTTAAAAATAGGAGATAGCAATACTTCAATGTTCGTTTATTAATCCAATCCCCTTGTATGACTTCATTACCTTAGATAATTAAATAATCCTCAGTCAGGCAGACTAAACAATGCTTTGACATGGCACTGAAATACTTGTTGACTGACTGCTTTATGATTTCTTTTTTTTTAATTTACCAGTTTGGGGTAGTTTTTCTAAACAAAGAATATAGGGAAGTCTGGATATACCATGATCCTAAAATTTAGAAAACTTACAATTCAGCAGCAGAGCACATGCTAAAGAGAACAAAACAGGAAGGCAATGAAATACACAATCAAGTCATAGTGAATGAGTTGAATGAATGCTGGACCTACACCACCTCTCACAATATTTAATAGCAACAATATTTTATAAGAAGAAAAAACTGTCAAAACTACCATTTTAGGGATATATCACCATACCTTCTCAAGAAGGGCGAAGAATGACAATACAAAACACTATATATGATTACTAGTCTATGTGGACTTGCAAGGTTAGAGATGGTTGACATCTACCTGTTTATAAAGGGGAGAGGTTTCTTTTGTTCCCCATCTATTATTTTTAAAAGGAAGGCAAACAGCTATATATAGTCTGT